AAAAAATATATATATATATATCTCATGATCCGCTGATCGGATCTTAACCAGATTAGTATGGGACCACCTCTGAGACACTGCCTTTCCGATGCAAAAAGAATCATCGAAATCGGTTGACGTGGTCCAAAGTTATGCGGTAACATACATAAAAAAAAAAAAAAAAAAATATTCCGACGAACTGATAACCTCCTCCCTTTTTGGAAGTCGGTTAAAAATCAATGAAATTTTGCAGTAGTTTAAAACTTGCACTTTATCATACTAAAATTAAATGGGCTACAAAACTGCATACTGAAAAAATTCTAATAAAAATTAAAAAAAAATTTGTTAATTTGTACTCATTTTACTCAACTTCAGTGTAAAACAAAATGCATAACTCAATTTATTGTAGAGTGTACCCCACAATACTATACTTAAATATTGCGCAATGCTCAGAGCAACCTTTGTGATTTTTTCAAGTTTTTTTTTTGAGATGTCTTATTTTTAAAAACTATTTTTTTTTTTTAACTAAAATGTGTTTGTGAAACATTTTTCAAGAAAAGAATTTGAAAAATATTTCCTTTCATAGAGAATTTTGATGTGTATATGTGTGATTTTTTGCAAATTTTTTCATCGCCCCGTTCTCGAGATAATTGGGAAACTATTAAATCGATTTATTTTTGTTTTTGTGCTATAAAGATTTTAAGAATGTATTGATCAAGCTCAAAATTCTGATTTATTTATTATTTATGTTTATGCATCAACCTTAAAAATTTCAAACAAATCAAAGACATGAAGTGTGAACCATGATAAAAATATAGTAAGGTAGAACCGCTGAGAGTCACTTTTAAAATTCTTGACGTTTCCAAACAATTTAATTTTTCAATTTACTCACAAACTCACACAAACATATTCATTTTCAATCTCAAGCAACAACAATTTCGAACAATTTCAATTTTCAATTGAGAGAACGGTTCTACCTTACTATGTTTTTACCATGGTGTGAACCCCATCCGTTTTGGTATGATACACCCCCCACAGACATATGTAAATATTGCTCATTTGCTGAGAGAAACAATTTTTTTTTTTGTTTTTGAGATACATACATTCATACGTATGCCAAATGGCTTCCGGTATTTGCTTTATGTTTTTCATTAAATCCATTTATTCAAAATATATCTGTCAATTGAGCCTTAAATTTGCATTTCTTGTAATTTTACTCGTTTGCACTTCATACCTTTGCCCTATGAATTTAATTTTATGTTTATATGTTTTTATTTTTTGTTTTTTATTATTATTTACTCTAACTAAAAACTTGAAAATTCAATTTCGCGCGTTTATGACTTTTTGAAGTATAAATTTCTTCTAGAAAACGAGCGATAGCCTAGCAAATAGACTACTGTAAATATTACTATGGATATTGCGCCTTCATGAATGAGTGACAAATATTATTGGACGCGTGAAAATTCAATTAAACTCTCGCCTTCAACTACTGCTTTTAATATAGCGATTACTCAAGCATGCTAACTACTGTTAACACTACTTTTATTTAATTAAACTATGCCCATACGGTAGCAAACAAGGCGAATTCGTATAAGGGTGGTGTTACCAGAGAAGCTGGTGATTCATAATGTCAAAGTAATGTACATATTTGTTGTAATTCCCGTTTGAAAATTTAACTAAATTTCATTGATAAAATAAATGATATATTACAATATGGGTATCAAATTAAATAGCTTTTAAAAGACCTACAGTTGAAAATATGTTTTGAGGAGGGTTGCCACCTGTTTGAAAATTTAACTCAATTAAATTGGTAAAATAAATGAAATGTTACAACATCGGTACCAAACTAAAGGCATTTGAAAAATCTTGATTAAGAAATTTTTTCAACAGGATTACGCCCTAAATGTAAAGACTGCAAATATTGGAACTAAGTAAAAATATATTACATAATTGGTTCCAAACGAAAAGTGTTAGGGAAAGCTTTACTAGAGATTTTTTATGTTTCCACTTATCCAAAAGCCGAACAGTTTAAATGAAGAAAGAATTTACAAAATCTCATTAAACGAAGTGATTATATTATCAACGAAGAGTTGGTATACAAATTTACAAATGAAAAAAAAAAAATAATAATAAAAAACCATACAGAACGAAAACATAAATATGTATATCCCTTAATAAAAACCTAAAATTGTTGTCACCATTCCTTAACATAAAATAGTTAACTTTCAATCATAAAGAGTTTCACTTGGGGTAGGCCATAGCCTACTATGTACTATATTGCGAGTAAAGAGAATGTGCCTGCTTTAGCGTTGAGTTTTCCAGACTTTCAAATATCTAAGAATCTACCTTAGTGAAATATACATCTACCTATCAATACCCACATTTCCAGATTTTTTTTTTGCTAAATTAGATGAGCTGCTTCGGGTTTTTAGCAAAGTTTTTCCAAAAATCAGAGCAATTTGAATAACGTTGGATAATATTATGAAGATTATGATTATTATTATTATTCTGATCTCCTATTATATGCCCAATCACACATTCACAAATTAAAGCGTGAGCAGAAGGGCATTTATGATCGCATATTGCAAATGTTAAGATATTAGGAGCTGCAGAACTGAACTACTCACGAAAAAATTTTACAGGGGCGTGTAATTTCTGGCGTATGCCAATAACATCGACATCATCGGTAACAAAAAACCTCGAAGTCTCTCCTGCCTTTTCCAAGTTAGATAAGGAAGCAAAGCTATTGGGTTTGGTGATCAACGAGGACAAGACGAAGTATCTCTTGTCATCAAACAAGGCGTCAGAGCATTCGCGCCTTGGCTCCCACGTCACTGTTGCCAGTTGTAATTTCGAGAAAGTAGACAATTTCGTTTAGTTAAGAACCAGCATAGCGCACAAGTGCTACTTTGGACTGAGTAGGCAATTCGTCAGTAAAGTTCTCTCTCTTACGCGTTGGCAACGATGAGTACCGTCTAAAAGTATTCGACTCGCAATCCGCTGGTGGTAGCAGAGGAAGGGGGAGGTNTTTTTTTTTTTTTTTTTTTGTGTATAACATATATGTTCGTCGATAAATACCATTGTGGAAACAAATGAAATAGTTATTTATCCAACACAAATTTTGAACTCGATTGATTTTCCAGGTGGGGTAACCACATACTGAAATTGAAAATAGGTATGGCAATTATCATGCTGCGGAATATTAATCCGCCAAAACTCTGCAACAGCACACTCGCAGTTAAGATGCTGATGAAGAACGTAGTGGAAGCAAAGATTTTAACGAGGCTTTTCAAAGGTGAAGATGCACTCATCCCTCGAATTCCCATGATTCTGACCGATATACCATTTCAATTCAAAAGATTTCTATTCCCAATTCGATAGGCGTTTGTAATCACAATAAATAAAGCTCCATTTCAATCTTTGGAAAAGTGTGGTTTAGATTTAGCTTGAAAGAGCATAGTTCACACTATGTCAAAAGTCGCACTTGATCCTCGAAACGAAAATGGTCTAAAATTAGCATTTTTGACGCCGGAAATGTAAACTCGATAAACATTATTTTTTTGTGCAGAACACCTCAAAGGTATGCCACATTTATTGTGCGTAGAACTAACTCCGAAACTCACAAAAAAGTGAACGTTTCAGATCGAATTTATTAATAAATTAGTGACCACAAATTAGAAAATTAGATTTCACAATAAAGTGTAGACCCATGACTACAAGTGTGTGTAAAAGTTTTTTGATCGGATCACCCATGCGGACACAACAGCCCGAAATAATTGGGCAAATAACTAAACAGTTCCCAGTTAAATCGTTATTTGGTTTTCCTCAATCAACAATTGCACCACGATGACGTCACGCATACAGCTGATTCGGTCGAATTCACAAAGAGCGGATTAGCGGTACCGCGATGGACGCAATCTATCTATCTATCTATTTCTCTCAATCGTGCGTTCGTAAAACATACCTTTACAAACAATGCTGTACTTTGTAAAGGATCCACAATAATGGCATACATACATCNTTCCTCAATCAACAATTGCACCAAGATGACGTCACGCATACAGCTGATTCGGTTGAATTCACAAAGAGCGGATTAGCGGTACCGCGATGGACGCAATCTATCTATCTATCTATTTCTCTCAATCGTGCGTTCGTAAAACATGCCTTTACAAACAATGATGCACTTTGTAAAGGATCCACAATAATGGCATACATACATCATTTTATATGTATATACATTACTAATCATTTAGTTTTCTCACTGGGCTGGTTTGCACCCACCCTGCAAAAAATGGGACTAATCCGGGATGACTCCGGGAGCAATTGCAAAGGAGCATGCGACTAATACCACTTTTGATCTCTTTATATGGAATGAACTGTTCGCTTTTGTTCGAGCATGTCCTATGAAGAGACTAATTGTTCACCTTTATACCCGAACGAGTATAAAAAGCGACTAGTCACTTTTAAAAAATATAAATAAAAATTTGCTCCAGCTGAGATTCGAACCGGGGTGCTCAGGCGAATACTCTCTCTGTGTGCCAACGCCGCACATGAAATTTCATTGACTAAGTGCGTACATATCATTAAATCGTTAATAGTACCCGTTAGAGATGAGTTGAGGACTAATTGATCTCCAATTATACCCATAAGGGATGAGTCGAGACTAATTGACCTCCATTAGTACCCGTATGAGACTAGTTGCGGCTAATTAATGCCCAATTGTACCAGATTGAGAGTAATCTCGGATTACTCTCTTCAGAGATTAGTCGCACAATTTTTTGCAGGGCAGTTATCGACATTTTATCTGTATATGTACGTATGTAAATAGGTATGTGTGCATTTCGCTATATCTATTTATGCTTCCTAAAAGTATGCATGAAACCGACTGCAAACTCATTATTTTGTATGGGTGCACAATTTCATTAAGAAAAAATATCTACATATGTCAGTATGTATGTACATATGTATGTGTGTTTGTATGCATTGATTAATTAATTCTCCCGCCCTATATTTCATTGCAGCCCTACAACGAATGCCATTATGGGTCTCACGTTCGCCTCCTACGTACTTCAGCCCTTCTTCCAAAATGAATGCAGCATACCGGAGAGCGCCCTACAACTACTCTCTGCGGTAACAATATGCTTCCTAACCTACCTGAATTGTTGTTACATGAAAGCTACTACGAAAATGCAAAATATAATTATGTTTACTAAAATTGGCGCGTTGTTATTAATCATTATTTTGGGTGTGGCTTGGATGAGTTTTGGTATGTTTAGATAAATTGTATGCGTTCAGGAAAATTGAATTTTTGAATTGATTTTGGTAAACTTTTTTTTTTTTTAGGTAACGTTGAGAACTTTGCAGACCCCTTCGAAAATACACAAACCGATCCTGGCAAGCTATCCGTTGCCTTCTATTCGGGTATTTTTTCATATTCCGGTTGGAGTTATTTAAATTTCATGACAGAGGAATTACGTGACCCATATAAAAATTTGCCGCGCGCTATTTATATTTCTCTGCCATTGGTGACGGGAATTTATGTGCTCGCTAATATGGCCTACTTGGCTGTATTATCGCCAGCAGAAATGATTGCCTCCGATGCGATCGCAGTGGTGCGTATGCGGACGGAATAATTATTTTTGAATGTACTAATTGAGCTATTTTTACGTTTAATAAATCCATTCCTTTACTTTCAGTCCTTTGGAGATCGTGTACTGGGCGTATGGTCTTTCATTATACCCATAATGGTGGCGATATCCGCTTTTGGTGGTCTCTCGGTGCATATAATGACTTCTTCACGCATGTGTTTTGTCGGCGCACGTAACGGTCATATGCCGGCGATCTTGTCAAATATAAGTGTGGAGCAATTTACGCCGGTGCCATCACTTGTGTTTTTGGTAATTTAACTGCGATTTATTTTGTTGCTCTACATACTTACATATGCATGTATATTATGAATAATGCGTGTGTGTCTTGACTTAAAGGGGACAAGACATTCAAGCACTAATTTATATACTTTTGTATACAGTTCGCTTACAATAATATAAATATGTATGTATATTAGACGCACCAAAAAGTATTTTTGTAAGGCAATTTTTATTTTTTTTTTTGTCGAGCGTAAGGGCCACCTTTTTACATTTATCGCCAGATCTTCGGCATTTGCTGTCAGAGATTAAGGTAAGGTACATACATCGATATTTTTAGCTCGAGGATATTTTGTTTTTTGTTCTAAAGTTCATTGGTCTCAAGTATTCCGGTCTAGAGCTTTTCTTCAAGATCACAGTTCCTACCACCTACTTTCAGTAAATTAAAGCTGGTCAAAAATCATTCGACTTTTGTTCAGGATTATTCCAGTGGAACTATGTAATATGTAGGCATCATCGAGAAATGTAAAGGGCGGGGATCGTAATGGTTTTCCATTTTGTTGATGATTATTTACCGAGTTTTTTTTAATAAAACATAATTGTTTTTTGCTCAGAAACCAAAAGTTGCTTCTGGTGTTTTTCTTATGGAATGGGCTAAGCAAAAAAAAAAAATTATTTTCTGAGCAATAAATAAAACTGAAAAAATAATTCAATAGAACTAAACAAATTATTTAATATAACTTAAAAATAAAAAAATTAGTGCCTCTGAAGGTAGTCGCATTTCTCTTCCAGCATGATTTTTTGAATTGAAATTTAATAAAATTATCATTATGTGCGGTTCCTGGCAAAAGGCAACACCTAGGTTCGACAGAAAAACAATCTGGTTTTTTTTTTGAAATTACCTTTACAAAAATATTTTTGACTCGACGATGTAAGACAAACTATTTTTTGCATGTAAGGTGGTGCGGTCTAATGTACATATGTATGTACATACATAAATATACATATATGTAGTATAAATCTCTTTATACGCCCTAATCTATTGCAGTGCATCTTGTCGATTATAATGCTAGTCGTGAGCGACGTTTACGTGCTTATAACTTACAGCAGCATAGTGGAGTCGTTTTTCATAATGCTGTCAGTATCGGCGTTACTCTATTTACGCTATACCCGCCCCAATATGGAGCGTCCAATTAAGGTAATTTTCACTTTACACTAGTAGGTACATATGTATGTATGTCTATGCCAATGGCAATCATTAAATTATTCAATCTCTCATAATTTATGCATTTAGGTCTCACTCTGGATACCTGTCATCTTTGTGGTTCTTTGTGCCTTTCTTGTGGTCGTGCCTATCTATGTGGCGCCCTATGAAGTTGGTATGGGCGTGCTGATAACAGTTATAGGTGTGCCATTCTACTACGTCGGTGTAGTGTGGAAAAATAAGCCGAAGTGTTTTCAAAGTGCAATTAGTGCGTATTCCATAAATTGTGCAATAATAACTACATACATACAAACAAATGCACGTTAATTAATCGATTTATATCTTTTTTTCATTTGCAGACCATTTTACATATGCGTGCCAAAGAATGTTTATGTCAGCCAAAGAAGAGAAAGTTGAATGATTCATTGACTATTGTGTCAAAACAATAACCATCGTTTAAGTTTTTTCTTTTGCCAGCTATTGTCATATTTATAACTTCATTCATAAGAACTAATCAATACTCATTACCCATTTCTTAGTTTCTTTATATATTTACATGTATTTGAAACGAATGTGTAATAAGTAAGAAAGTTATAAAACTATAAAGACTTATGGCCATATTCATAGAACATTA